TATTAAGGTCTGAATAGCTGCTGTAAGATACATAATATGAGCAAGGCTATTCTTGCCAACTGGACTATTTGAGTCCAAGAGAGAACGGAAGTGCTCTGTGGTAACCGGATCAAACAAATTATTGAAAAGATCTGATTCAATGAACAGATTTGTTATAAATCAGACTTCATTATATTTCTCTCATGAACTGTTGTGAATCATTTTAATGAATAATGACTTAAATTGGTCTGTTGCACAAAGCTATCATGGCTTTTTTTGATGTTTTTTTGACTACTTTTTTATTATTATTATTGTTATTTATGACAATTCAAAGTGAAACTTTATTTCAAAAGTAAAACATACACCATTTTTCACCCCAGTGCAGTCACTTCCATCATACTGGAGGGGATGGACCTGTTGTGTTCCACAGAAGAAAAGAAATTCAGGTTTGAAATGACATGAGGGTGAGTAAATGATGACAGAATTTAATTTTCGTATAAACTCTCCCTTTATGAAATAGTTCACAGCCTTTCATTCATTAGCAAACTATGCTTTTTCCAATGACAAGGACAGTTTCCATCTTCTTGAAATTGCAGGTGGATTCAGTGTGCATCTGAAGACAATTTATTCAGTTTTTTAATCAGTTCAGAATAAACAAAAGGATTGTCATCACAGCCTCAAGGACGTGAGCAGGTTTGTTTACTACAGCCTTCGTATTTACCCAATAATTGAACATAAAATCTATCATAATTAAAGCAATTTTTTATTAAACCCTTGAAGTAACTTTCATAAATGCCTGGAATCCAAAGGAAAATGACCAGTGGGGATTTATATCTAGTAATTATCTCTTACCTTAAGGATACTGTTTCACATCACGTGACTGTTTAAATTCAAGGTCCAACGTGTTTTCTGACCACAGCGCTTGATGATGCTGTTAATGAAAACAAATCAGTCCCACGAGTGATTATCATACAGCAAGTTGTAGCCTGGAGGCAAATCAAGTTTATTCAGGAAAACGACCCTTTCTAACCTATTCCTCATGACATATAGCTTTGAAAACAGTGTTTCCAGAGGGCAAACGTAAGACACCGGGAGGGATGGAAAATTGCAATAATCCTATTCAGGGGTCTCTCAGCGTCCACTTACCCACGGCCATTATTGCAAACCTGCACACTGTCTACCAAGAAATAACAACGAACACAAGTGCAGATGGAGTACTGTGCTTACTCAGGGTAATTCAGTTCATTTTGGGAGCAAGCAAATTGCTCGGTAAATATACTTACGCTTGTGTGTTGGTTTGTTTCCTGTTCTTTAGTTGTTTTTTGACTTGCAGGGTACCTTTAGACTTCTTGTTTGCGCATGACGCATTATTTCATTCGCATGATGCATTTACACATTTAGTACAACAGCACTACAGTCACAGTTTAATATTTAGGACACAGAAGACTGTTGAAAATATCCTCAGAATTAGAGCGTTTTATATAAGAGATTAGAAGCCAGGATCTGTGTTTCATTGGAACGATGAGTCAGAACATCCATTACTTCAGTAAACACTTTTGTCTTTTCTGCCTCTCTCTATCTCTCATTTTCTCTTTGAAAGCTGAAGATGTGGTACTACCTGCTATAAAATACGATGTGTGGGTGGTTCAGTTTCTATAGTTCATGATTTAGACAATTTTGCAGACTGGGATTTTTGTTAATACCCATGTAAAATACAGGCTGTTCCCTTAATTGACTATGGCGTAATTTAAAAAAATTAAAATAATACTGTGGGCATGGCAACAGCTCATGATGAAGGACACAAGAGCTTTAATGAAAAGCTACTCATGTTGTTTACCCAATAAGTTAATTCAGGTTACTTTTCCATTATTTGGCCATGAACTGGATGCTGCTGTTTATTGACAATGCTACACATTAAAAATTAATTGTCTTTTAGCTGGCACAGTCTTGGGCAAAATCAATTGAACGATGTCTGAAAACGCAGTATGGAATAAAATCAGGTTTAAATAAATGTCAGACTATTTCGATTGCTATGGGAAAGTGTGTGTCGCTGAGAAACCGCCATCATTAGACAAAGATGAGAAAGATTGACGTTTGGATAGTGACTCTAATGTCACAATTTTCGAAAGCCATCTCCAATTCTAGGTAGCAATAACTCGACAAATAGAGACAAGAAATCAAATGCTGCAAAAGTGTGACAGGCTGTTTTGATAATGCTACTCAATTCAGCCCCAAAGCCATTTTACATTTTAATGTGTTTAGATTGAAATGAGGGAGACAGAGCCAACACAGATAAACACAGATGTGAGGAATGAATCTCTAAGTTAAGGAGCGGATTTAAGGAGGTAGCATTAATTAATACATTAAAAAAACAACGGAAAAACGCAGCTGTTTGCAAAATATTACCAACTAGCTTCATCGTCATCATCACTGCGATCGTCCTAATCACTATTGTATGCTTGCTGTTGGTCAGAAAGTGAAGTATTTAGGTGGTGTTTAGCGTTTATGAGGTTCTTGTGTGGGCGACAACGCTGATTGAGGCTGAATGCTCCTTCACTGCTGTTTGAAACAGCGCGGTGGGAGGCGAAATGTTTCAAAATGTCAACTTCAAAATTCCCAGGGAATCTGACACCCACTGCGGTCTGTAATCCAGGTTATTACCAGCCTTCACTCCCCCATATGTGAATCATTTTCTCTTTTGGCATCAGTACAAATGGGTTGATTTGAATACAAAGTTGAATAAAATATTGCAGTGCAGAAGGGCAGAGAGGACGGTCAAATCATAAAGGTGATACATCACTACTGCGTGCATTGTAAATTCTGCTGCAATATGACACTTTACCTGTAGCATTTTTAGATCAAGTTGGCTTTAAAAATGCATGGAAGGTTTCAGTGTTAACAGATTTAGCCATGATAATCTCATGACATGTATTAATGGTAATTTCAAAATCATGTCCGCCTACTTAACACTTGAAGTATTTTGTTTGCATACACACACAAGATTAGATAAACAAAATGGATTTTCTTTCTTGTCACATCAAGACACAAAAAGCAGTGTGACTGATCTACCAGTCAGTGCTTTATTTTTTTTTTCTCAACCTTTTTAGTTTGGATAAAGCTTCACCCACTTCACATGTTCTCGGGTTGCATCAAGTAAATGAAATACTTTTCTTCTGTAGCTATGCAGAGACCCACGGACACCCACTGTTTGTCTCCTGACTGTATGATGCAAACAAATCTGGCAAGCCATACCCAAAGATCAGCAGCTTCAATCTAGTTGGCGGGAAATTGGAGAGTACCAGTCTGGAAGTGAAGTTATGTTTACAAGGCATCGGACTGATGCAATAAGCACTTTTAAGGGAAAACTAATCACTGAATTTGACAAAGCATGCCAAGTCTATTATATGTGGTCTCAAATATTTCAGTCCCTGCTGGTAGATGCTAGAAGCACAACATTTGTACCCAAACAGCATCTTTTTTATATCGATGGCCATTCAAAAATGTGTATTTTTGTTCCAAGCAACATTATATGTCTATATATAATGCTGTTTGCAAAAAAATTAAAATTAAAATAAATAGTAACAAATTTGTCAGATATATGTTGCATTCAATATATATATTTTGCTGGCTTAATTTATGCTGCTGCTGTTGTCAGTGCCGTCAAAAGGTTCAGAGTACTGAATTAACATTTGTTGATCTCACTGTGTTTGAGATTTGTGTGTCATATGCATCTCATTGCAACTTTGGGGTTTAATATATTTAATATATTAGAAAAATATGTTTGCATCTAGTTTTAAAGGGGTCATATGATGCTATTTTAAAGATCATTATTTTGTGTATTTGGTGTAACAGAATATGTTGACATGCTTTAATGTTCAAAAAACACATTATTTTTCAAATACTGTACATTATTGTATGTCCTCTATGCCCCGCCTCTCTCAAACACGTCGTTTTCAACAAAGCCCCCTCCTTCCGACAAGCGCAGTCTGCTCTGATTGGCCAACTGTAGATATGTGGGGGCATGTTAGAACGAGGCGTTTTAGGTAGGCGTGGTTGACTCTTAACTTTTATAAAGAATATCTCTTTGGATTTGAGACTTTAGTCTTTGCAACTTTACAGATCTTCTTTATGCACCAAGAGCTTGTAACACTCCAAAGAGAAATGAAAACTTGAAATCGCATCACCTTTAAGAGGCAATAATGCCATGTCATGTAGTGGGCTTTGAAAATCAAACATAGCGTTTGTAGCTCCTTGCATGGCTAGATACTAAAGAATCTTTAATTGCCTTGACAAAAATTTGTAAGTTCATTAGATGAACAAAACATTTATATTTTCAGTTGCTATACTAAAAAAATGTGGTGTTGAAATAATTTTCACAACAAATTAGAAAGAAACAAAGACGTGTGTGTGGATATACAATTTACAATTGGATAGTTTTTATTTCTACAGGTATTTGTAGACCTAAATAAGCTAAATGAACTATTAATATAGTATACTCTAATAGGGAATATCTTGCAAATGCTGCACACAGTAGCAGATTTGACCTGTTTTAATGCATCCAGTCCTGGATTTGGTGGCTTAGATGGTTTCACTAAAGATTCTTTAATTGCACACAACAATTAACCTGCTAACTGAAACCCAAAGCACATCTGTACCACTTTACAAGCACTCATCACGCTCACGGGTAAACATATCGGCCACACTTTTTGAAATCATGCTTTGTCAGGAAAACGCATGCAGAGTCGCATCCAACAGCTTTCAAGGACGAATCGAGGTGAGGCCAAGCAAACGGAGGCTTAATCGTTCAATCATACCGTACTGTAACACTAAAAGCATTGCACCGCAGCCTATATAAGTAACCTTTCATGCATGTCCCATTTATTATATGCGACAAGACCTTTGCATTCCAAGGCAAGGTGCTTTAAATAAGCTCATCCCCTAGCGCTGGGATTGCACAAGCATATAACGGGAATGTGTAGCAGGACACCTGCCCACGGCAGCCACAGTCGTTAAAAAATGATCGCTCAGAACATGGGACGCTTCATATGGGAGCTCTCCATGTGATTCAGTGAGTGCCTTTATCAGCGGCAGCTGCAGTTCCCCTCACAGACACTCACACTGCCTCTCTAAGCACGAGAAACAAGGACGTCCTTCTTTTGCCTGGAAACCAGAGATGTTAGGAACCTGCAGTTAAAGCCTCGCTGTATCATTACTGCTCAACTTTAATTTCTGAGGAGTTAATCAGCTTCTCGAGACATCTGCAATCGCCGTGCAGGTAATTACGACCTTTATGTGTGTGTGCGAGTGTGTGTGGAACGCGAGCGTTTGGCTTTTGCTCTATGTGGGATTGAGCGGGAGCTGTCCGCCAGCAATGGTGCTGAAATCAGCCTCAATGAACGAGGAAGAGATTTTGTTTTCGGCACCTATCGGGATCGGGAGTAAATACTAAAGCGGGTCATTTTAAGGCATTTATAGGCGTAAGAAGACACTAAGAGCACAGCAGCGTACGAGATTTACCCGGACTCATTCATCAGCCAACGTTTCGGTACATTCGGACTATTAGCGTGTGGGTTTGATTCGGATGGATGAGGGAAAGTTTACAGACAGATTAAGGGATCCAGTCATGCCCTGTACTGTAATATAATCTATTCCAACAATGCGAAACGATCATCACAATACGATTTTTGTCCCCTCAAATGTTATTTTATATTCAGGTTGCAATGTAATATTGCCATTGCCCTCGAGAAGAACAAACGCTCCCTGCAGATTTACTTCAAATGTACACGATGTATGCTTGTCCCAGAGCATGTCATTAACGCTATTTTTTCTAGTGAAGGTTAAGTTACTTGCAGGCACCGTTAAGACACTAATTACAATGTAATGTCCGTGGTAATTTTACAACTCTGCACTTTCTGTGAACTGTATGCGAGGTATATTGACCTTTACTGTCCTTCATATGTCGCATCTTGTGAACTGATCGGCTGGATAGTATTGCGTATGCCATGCATTCACTATTATTTAGTCTTTAGTAATGTTTTGTCATATAACCTAAAAATGCCTTCATCTGTGACACCTACAAAGTTTTTGATCCAGTCAAACACATTATTTAATATTACAAAATCACACACATACTCAAATGAACTATTTTTACGGGTCAAGTCAGAAAATAGCTTCTTCGGGAAAAACTGCTCACATCCACTTCTTTTTTTACAGGGAATAGCTGTTTATACAAACTACGTTTTTGCTATTAAGTAATTGTCTGTTTCACATTGTAGATCTGGCGACAAGGAACTACTTGAAAAGCTTAACCTGAATGTAATATTTCGTTGAAGAAGGCAGGAATAAAAAGCCATCATCATGAATTTTGTTATGAAGCAAGCGTTGGGAGGTAAGTTTCAGACTGTCCCGTTTCTCTCTCTCTCACACACACACACACACACACACTCAGGTTTGTTTTTGTGAATTGTGGGGACATTCCATAGGCGTAATGGTTTTTATACTGCACAAACCATATTTTCTATTGCCCTACACCAACCCTACAGACACACACACACAGAGAGAGAGAGAGAGAGAGAGAGAGAGAGAGATAATAGACTTAGAGCAGAAACTATACATTCATGCAGTAAGCTTGCACAGCAATACCATTATGTTCAGTCTGCCTATGTATTACCTTTCGCTTGGCATATATGTCATGCACTGCTCTGTATTTACATACACATGGAAAGTGAACCAAGAGTTGTTTTTTTGGTTTTTTTTGCTTTGTAGTAGTGTTTTCCTATCTATCTTAGTCTTGCGTAGCATATCTTCTAAGTAAAATCGTGAGGTCTAAGATAATATTGTGATGGATTAGAAAGCACTTGATCTGTTGGTATGGTATTTGGTCACAAACCGAGGTCGTGAGTCTTTGCGCATTTCAAAATCTGCCGCAGCTCTCTGTTGTTTTCATGACAAGGGGGTTTGTTTTCTAGTTGGAAGCCAATTCAGATGTTTTTCTCTATTTATTTTATTCTCTATAACGTTTTTAATGATCTTTTTGTTCATTATTATTATTTCCATTTTAATTATTTTTGCAAGACATATATTATATCCAGACACACCAGAATTGACTATTGACAATGTGCTCTGCTGTGCCTAATCAAAATAATAACAATTCCATAAATATTGGCATTAAATATCCAAACAAAACGCCATCTTAATGTGTTCCATTAATCTCCTTTGAATCCGTAATGAGGATTTTATCTGTCTCACTCTGTACGGACTTCCGCTCGTCAAAGCACTTAGCCCCATCAAGACTGAGATTGACAGTCCAGTCTTGAGGGATGTCACGAGAGCAGGACTGCGGCAGTTGATTAGCAGGGATGTGCTATAAAAAGGTGGCGTACGACCTGTTTCATTAACCAGCTGCCGGGGAAAGCAGCCCATGAGGGTCCTGCCCTAGTCCACTTGCTCCATCGATAAAGAAAATGAGTGAAATCCACCGAGCTGTACCAAAAGGGATTTCATCCTTGAGAAGAGAGTCTGGTCCCCAGCTTCATGTTTACTCCCAACTTTCCTCTCATGTCCTCTCATGTCCTTTTCTAAGAGTATCAGTGCGTGCCTAAGATAAATTGATCCTGGCTTCAGATGTTTTTGGATAATTATGTTTTTAAAGATTTCAAGTCGCCTATAACTAGATTTGCATTTCCTGCAGGAATTACCAGTGCTTGCAAGGCAGCAAGAGAATAAGTTTTAGGTTAGCTTAGTTTCAGGCTTCGGCTCTTCGCAAATGATGATCACTCTCATGGTGCGTCTTGTTTTCAGTAGGCTGCACACAATAATCAGTCATAAATGGTTAAAGTATCCATATTATGCAAGTTCATAAATTCGTTTTTGGAGTCTGCTAGAATACATTTACATGATTTAAAGTTCAAAAACACATTGTTTTTCTCATGCTATACACCCTGAAACACCCTGAAACACCCTGTTTCAAAACGTATGCCTTTAAAACGCATCTTTCTAAAAAAGGCCAGACTGTTCTGATTGGTCAGCTTACCATATTTGGGTTTTAGCTCCCGAGGTTTCATGAGCAGCTGTAAACGTTTCGTTTCATAATTGATGAAGTTTGCAATATAGAATCAATAGTGAACTGACTTGAGCTGAACAATGACATTATTATACATAGCTGAATTGAGCTTGTTTCATAATTGATGAATTTTGCCATATTAAATCAATAGTGAACTGACTTAAGCTGAATAATGACATTATTATCCATAGCTGAATTGAGCTTGTTTCCTAATTGATGAATTTTATACAGTTATTGAACTGAACTGTATCAACACTGAACTGACTTGAGCTGAATAATGACACTGTTGTCTTTATTAGAGCTCCTTTACAGCAGAATTTGAATTTCTCTCATGTTTCATGAAGTTCATACTACAAAGCTGATTTGAAACTATTTGTATTGTATAAAGCACGATATAAATAAAGGTGACTTGACTTGGCTTAAATAGTAGTATATCTTTGGTAACTGTGGTGTCAATTTTAGAAGTCTATACAATCTTTATTTGCCCACCATACGAAAACGTTTTTCGGCGGCCATTGTATAACATGAAAAAGAATGAAAAATGGAATGGCTACAAGCAATGAGTGTTTCCCTTTGGTGTGAACTTTTGTGGTTTGTAACTTTGCAGATGCTCAAACAGCTATGTTAAACACTAAAGGAAAGGTACAATCAAATAAACATTGAAATATATGCAAGGAAGACCAGGCCAATCATAATTAAGTATGCAAATTGATACATTAAAGAAAACCAATCCCGTTATACTAAATAAATGGAAGAGGTTGTATGCATTTGCTCGAAAGCTTTTATTGCATCATTCAGATGCATCCATAAATGCATTACTATACTGGCCCAGTTCAAAACTGCTGCTGTGGGAATTTTTATTTTTTTTTGTATGCTTGCAGTCTCCACCGTTGATTGATCCTGTAAATCATGGAACAGGCAATCTCCATTTGCCAGCAGCCGTTTTGACAGGCCCCCACACACGGTTCTGACCGACATTAGATAATAAAGCTCAGGCTGAAGTGAAATAATGGGCCTGTCTGGCTCAGTAAGAGATTTAGAGGCAGCGGGTCAGCATGTGGCGAGAGAGTTCGGCACTAAAGCTCACGGATGTACGACTAATCACGGTTATGTGAGAGAAATCTCCTGGGCATCCCTGCAGCATCAGCCAGAATGCAACCAGAATGGGAGGCCACCCCTATTCACACATGCACTCTCACACTTCCTCATCTCACTTTCTTGCTGAATTCCACACACATTTGTTTTCTTTTCTTCTAGCTTGCTTAGTTGGGTTTTAAAAGACACTAAATATTTAGTGATATCGATTGACTGCACTGACACTGTTGGATGAGAACAAAACTTGAACTGAATTGAGCTGAATAATGACACTATTGTCTTCTGCATCAAACTTGTTTCATAATTTATGAACTTTAGACTGTTGTTGAACTGAACTGGACCAACACTGAACTGACTTTGGTGAATAATATTTTTTTTTGTGAATAATGACACCATTGTCTATTTAGAGCTGCTTTACAACAGAATTTGAATTTGTCTCATATGTTTGATGAAGTTTGCATCATTAGCTATGCTTCCATCTACATATTTTAATGCAAATTTTGGGATATTGCATTAAAAAAGCTGGATGGAAATGCCAAGATTTGTATAAAGTTTGGGATACTGCATTAAAAAAGCTGGATGGAAATGCCAAGATTTGCATAAAATGCACATAAAAAAACATATGCTCTCCAATTGAGGTAGACAATTTTTTGATCTGATAAGAAAACATACGTGCATAAACTACAATGGAAACACATTTACCAAATAAATTCCTTGATGCGCAACAAAAATTTAATGTGATTTTGCCTCGCCAGATCATGTGATTGGATCACTGGACCAACCAGCTTACCAGTCTCATTGCACACCATCTCAAAATGTACTCGAAATGATTTGGTATAATTACCTCTGAGAACTGTCTCATTCAGTTGTGTTCCTGAAGATCATCTGCCTCCGAACGCAACATTTTTTATTGCATTTCATAATTTATTTAGAGGAAAAAAGAGGCACAGCCTTCCCCGGTTAGAGCAACTTCTTATTATTAATACTTTACGCCAGTTTCCCAGGAAGTGACAATTTTGTTCAAATTGAAAAAATGGGATGGAAACATTGCTTTATTTGCAAATGTTTTATGCGATATTCTAATTTTATGCATAAGTTAAATTTTCAACTCTGGATGAAAATTTAGCTATTGATGCTGTTATTTTCCTGTTTATTACCGATAAGCTGCTTAAAAAAAATCTGTATTTTATAAAGGGCTCTGTAAATAAAGGTGACTTGACTTGACATACACATACATTTTTGCAGTATTTCCCTGCTATAACTTCCTCCTTTTCTCCTCTCTTTGCATCTCTCTGGCTAAAGCAGCTCGGTGGGGTGGAAAGAGAGTCTCGAGTAGAGTTGGTCAGCGTTGTTAATAAGCTCGACATGCCTGACTGTGCTTTAATTTTTAAAGTTTGTTTCCAGGTTTAAATAGCAGATTTTCAATGTGCTTTCAGGCCTCACTGTATATCTAATTTTGTTAATTTGGATGCTCACATTTGTGGTAAATTAACACCTCTTGTCATTAATATGCAGAAGCTGCTCAGTTGAATCCAATTTTAACAACTGCGCTGAGGCGTTCGGATCTGAATCAGATCACCTTCACACTAGCATCAACATTCTCGTGCTTCCTGTGGGGTTCTGCCGGGCCACTCTGACAAAGGGTCATACATTAGCGTGGGTCGCGGAAATGATTAATCTAATCAAATGCCCAATTTAGTTAACTTCAAGTCAACTGAAATGAACTAAATTGAGTTCTATTGAATTGATGTCTGTGCAAAACTGTGCTGTAATACCAAAGCACAGCTGTCACAGGGGTTAATTTGCTTTACCTTAATGACGGAACAAATTAATCATGTGAAAACAAGCTATTACTTATGTCATGTTTTCCCATTTGAAGCTTCTGTCCTGTGGTGGCAGGGCATATCAAAAAGCTCACCCCTTATTATAAATAGCCAATAAGCTTGGTTGTAAGTTGCAAGAAACTTATTCTACTTTTATTAAGAGCATTTTATTGGACAAAAAAATAGATTTTTGTAATGCAAAATGTGTATAACTGCAAATAATAATAAATAAATTAATATAAATATATATGCAATATTTAGAAGTACATCAGCATGGGGTTTTCCATCTTTTTAATGCCTAAAGCAACAAAATATGATGATCCTCTTCCTAAAATCAAAAAGCAGCTCTATGTTTTCATGCCTAAAGACCCATCTGTGTGAGAAAAACAGTAGGGGGGATATTAAAAA